GAAACTGACTCAACGGCACTTAACAACAACCAAGTGCTGGGTGAATCCCACTTAGTATCTAGGTTTAGACCTTCAGTTGAGGGAGGGTCAACAATGGATTTTTTCCTAAGGAAGGGACATGAGCAATATGAACATCGGTGAAAGGCAATAGGAATGTTTCCGGTGGTGCTTCTACCCTAACAGTTGCTACAGCAGTAGTTAGAACAAAGCTAAATGGGCTGATTCATGCCTAAGGGCAATTTCCACTTTCTGGAATAGTTTCTCAAATGCCAGTCATTCTATTGAACTTCCTAAAGGGGAGAATTTAATGGATGTTGGCAAAAGCAAGCCTGTAGGAAAAAGGAAAGCATGTTCCAGGATGAAAAACTTGTTGGTGTCACAGGAGTTTCTGGTCTCAGAGTTTGAATGTAGAGAGATTGGATCCAAATTCTACTTTCAGCAAACCGTCAGTGATTCCTGGAGGGATGCAGTGAGTGAGATATCAAAGACAGATGGAAGCTGGAATGTGTGTTTACATTGCTTGCATGGACAAACAGTTTGTCTACTTCTGGTTAAGTTAGCTACGGCTATAGTTCAGGACTCAATACATGATAACAACAACAATGAAATCCCCATTATTAAAATTTTGTGGGAAAAACACATTGATTTTTCTCACAAGAAATTGAAGAACCTAAGATGTTGATATTAGCTAGGATTCCAAGAACTGTGTGTGGATGGTGGCATGGAATAAATATGGCAAATAGCCGTGAAGTTTAGATCTAAAAGAAAATGTCCATAGGTGAAAATGCATCGGTTAACCTTTGTTGTTGTTAAGTGCCATCGAGTCAGTTCTGACTCATAGAGGCCATATATAGGGTTTCCAAGGAGTGGCTGGTGAGTTTAACCACCAACCATGCAGTTCAAATAGTCCTTACAGTTCAGTGCTTTATCCCACAGCACTACATCAGGACACCATAGGCATTGTAAATGAAGACTCTGTTCAATATTAAAGTTCTGACCAAAAATCTATTTCAAGAGGAGCAAACTGCAGCCACAAAGAATAAGTCTGAGCAACTGCAGTACAAAACCTGAAACTATCCCTGGAAATATAAGGGCCCTTGTATGATCATTATGGATGCCTCAGGCTAGGGTGTAAAAGGAATCTGTTATTTATTGGGCTTACGAATGGACTGCTAACCTCAAGGTCAGCAGTTTGAAACTACCAGCTGTTTTGTGGGAAAAAGATGAGGCGTTCTGATCCCGCAAAGATTTACAGCCTCGGAAACCCTGTACAGGGTCGCTATGAGTCGGAACCGACTCCAAGGCACACCACCACCATTATATGCATTTACACATACAGGGAGGAGGTACGGTGGCTCCATAAGATAAACACTAGACTGTGAACCAGAAGGTCAGCAGTTGGAGCCCAGTAGCTATTCCATGGGAGAAAAATGAAACTTTCTTATCCCGAGAAACTCTATCTTCCAAATGCTTTCCTAAATGCCTCCTTCACATCCTTGTTCCTCAGGCTGTAAATGATCGGGTTCATCATAGATGTTATGACTGAATAGAACACAGAGATCACTTTATCACCTTCATTCATTTTCTTGGAGTTTGGCCTCATGTAGGCAAAGATGGCTGAGCCATAGGCAATAACAACAACAATAATATGGGAGCTACAGTTTGAGAAAACCTTGTGCCTCCCTTCTCCCGACTGCATCTGGATCACAGTAGAGATGATATTCCAGTAGGAGACAAGAATGAGGGAGACAGGAGCTAAGAGAATCACCACGCCCATTGCAAATATGACCATTTCTGTGCTGTAGGTGTCTGCTGAAGCGAGCTTCAGGAGGGCAGGAGGTTCGCAAAAATAATGGTTAATGATATTGTTTCCCCTGTAGGGCAGACGCAATGTGAATGTGGTGTCCACCAGAGACACGAATGCCCCGCTGGCCCAGGATCCTATAGCCAGTTGGACACAGACCCAGTGAGTCATGATGGTGGAGTAGTGCAGGGGCTTGCAGACAGCCACATAGCAGTCATAAGACATCACCGCCAGCAGTGCAGCTTCTGCACACCCTGCTAAGAGGAAGACATCTATCTGTATTGAGCATCCAACAAAGGAAATGGTTTTCCTCTTTACCAGGAAATGGACTAGGACCTGGGGAAGTGTGGTAGTAGAAAAGCAGAGATCAGCAAAGGACAAGTTTCTAAGGAAAAAGTACATGGGTGTGTGGAGTCTGGAGTCTATGTGAATAAGTACAATGATGAGCAGGTTTCCCAGCACAGTCAGCAGGTAGATGATCAGAAACAGGAAGAAGAGCAAGACTTGGGTCTGTGGATCCTGGGAAAGGCCCAGGAAGACAAACTCAGTCACGTAGGTTTGGTTTTCTTCTCCCATGAATGTTTATTCCTGTTCACAAGTCAACACCAAGAAAAGAAACACATACTGGTCAGTTATAAAAAAATATGAGTAAGTTTGGTATTTTATAAAATTTGCATTATTGATTCCCACCTTCAAACAACTTTTATAAATTAAAAAAACTGAGGTTTTTTTTGGTTCCAAAGTTCTAACAATTGAAAACCACTTCTGAGTTTCCCTTTCCCTGAATAGCGAATCTATATAGGGTTTCCAAGGTGTTGCGGTGGGTTTGAACCACCAGCCTGAAGAGCTTCATGACCCAAGCTGTTTTGGACTATTAATGATTACTAAAGTCCAGAGAAAATTATTGTGTATGTTTGAAGCAAATAAATTTGTATTGCTGAAAAACTAACTAGTGATTTTACTACATAAATTGTCAGATAGCATTCATGAAAGTTGGTTTTCTTCATTATGTGTACAAATAATTCTAAAGAAACCCGTCCCCCAAGACTATGGCCCTAAAGTACCCTGGAACTGAAACCAGGCTGGGAGACTTCCTTACAGTCAAACAATAAACATAAAATAAGCAATAACACCTGAGAAGGACATGTTCCTTAGAACAATCAATTATATGAGACCAAAAGAACATTTGCCCAAAAGCAAAGATGAGAAGGCAGATGGTTGTTGTTAAATCTTGTTAAGTCAGTTCTCATTCATAGCAATCCTTATTGGGTTTCTGAGAAGATACTGATGAGTTTGAACCGATGACCTTGAGGTTAAACCAACCTTGCGATACAATTCTTATCTGACAGTACCACACCAGGATTTCAAGATGGCAGGTTGTTGCTGTTAGGTGCCATCGAGTTGGTACTGACTCATAGCGACCCTATGCATAGCAGAAAGAAACACTGCCCAAGCCTGGGCCAACCTCACCACAGTTGCAACGCTTGAGTCTGTCAATGCTGCCACCTGGCCAGTCCATCTCACTGGGGGTCATCCTGTTTTTCTCTTGAGATGCTATATTGTCAGTTGTGATGAATAGTTTCCTTATATTCATTGCTTTAAAACTTCTGATTAAGATTAAACAAAAGCCCAGAGAAATTCTTAAACTGATTTATTTAATCCCTACTCACTCTTTTTGCATTCTGGAATTCCTTTTCCAGCTTCCTCCTAAACTAGTTATGTTGTTGTTACGCCATTGAGACGTTCAGACTCATAATGACTCTGTGCACAACAGAATGAAACACTGCCCAGTCCTGCACCGTCCTCACAATTGTTACATTTGAGCCGGTTATTGTTGCTGTTGTTGTCAGGTGCCGTCACATTGGTTCTGACCCATAACAACCCTGTATAGGATTTCCAAAGAGCAGCTGATGAGCTTGAACCTCTGACTGTGTAGTTCAAACCAACCTTGCAGTCCAGTGCATTAGCCCAAAGTCACACCATAAAGAGGGTGTCACTGTTTCCCAGGTTTTGTTGCTGTACCTCACATGCATTCATTGCAAACAGGTCCACAGGCCTGATTTTCAGTTTTAAAGATTTGGGGACTAATTTTCTCTGATAGAGAAATCAATGGACACACAAAAATAAGAAGCATATTTTTGCCTTTATATTTCAACCATTTGTGGGGTTTTTGCATCAAGAAAAATAGAAAAATTTTAAAGGAAAAAATATTAAGTGGCAAACATTATTACAGATAATCAGACAGTATAAAATCCTATACAGAGCTGCTATGGTTCAGAACTTACTTGATAGCATTTACCTACAACAGCATAGCTACAAGCAAAAGGAGAGTCAATTCAAGCCTATAATAATTTATAAGAATGTGCTCTGATACAAGATGAGCAATTGAACCTTTTTGTATTATTCTATACCAAATACAACCAAATAGAAAATGGCTACTTCACAAAGGAACAATGCTTAAACTTAATAAGGTGTATACTTAAGAAATAATCAAAACCTATTTCTTGAACACTGTGATACATGATGTCTGAATAAGTGACTACACACTAATTTTATGAGTAGAAAGTTTCACTCTTAAAATATGCTAATTTCTTTCAAAGTAATCCATGAATTCACTGCAGTTTCAATCAAATTAACAAAGGATTTTTGCAAAGGAATTTAACAATTTTATTCTAAATTTTATCTATATGAGAAATTGTATAATATCAAATGGATTGTGGAAATGTAAAATAAGGGAATAGAAGAAACGTATTGTATCAGATATAAAATAGATATTATTAATATAGTAATGCATGAACATAAAGCATTTGATAGAACTAAAACAGATTTTACTATATATGAAATTTAATGTATGATAAAGGGGTCCTGGTGTGGCACTGTGGGGTAATGCGCTGGACTGCAAGGTCGGTTTGAACTGCAAGGTCTGCAGTTCAAGATCACCAGCCGCACCTCGGAAACCCTACATAGGATCGCTAGGAAACGGAACTGACTTGATGGCACTTACCAACAACCACCCAGGTGGCATTAAAATAGATAATGCAATAATACTTAACAAAATGTGTGGGACAACTGCTTATCTACTTTTAAAATTATACATATTCACATGTAAACATTAGCATAAATATAAAAAATCACAAATACATCAATGATCTAATGTTAAAAACACATTTTCTATGAAATTAGATCATCTGTGTTAGATGTTAGAGGTTTTCCTAAAAAAGACCCCTAAAATTAGAAATTATAAAGGAAGACACCAAAAAATATTAGACTTCTGTGCAGTTAATGGGGTCCTGGTATAGCACTGTAGGATAAGCACAGGACTGCTAACCACAAGGTTGGTGATTCAAACCCACCAGTTGTTCCTCAGAAACCCTATATAGGGTCCTTATGAGTCAGAACCGACTCAACGGTGCTTAACAACAACGTTTGGTGAATACCACTATAAGAAAACATAAATAAAATAAATCTTAGAATAGAATTGCAAAGTATTTACCAGAAATTGATTATTATTCCTAACACATAAAGATCTAAAACCAATAAAAGATATGTAACATACTAGAAAAATTCACAAAAAATAATAAATGCAAAGTAAACTTGAGCAATAAATTTGAAACAAAATATGCACATTTAAATAAATATATGTATATATTCTCTTAGGTAAAATTTCAAAGGATATACTATCCAAGTTTAATTATATAGCAAGATGAATATGGCAGATTAAGAGAAAGCAAGCCAATGATTTTATGAATGACATGGCATTTTAATGTAGAGTGAATGGCATGTTTGTGTTGATCTGTATTTGGGTATTTGTGGTATATATGTACCTTTAGAGGCTTTCTCCTTCAGTGAGAATCTACTGATCCTGACTTCTGCTAGTTGTTAAGAGGAAACAGCACAACTCACTGACTAACAGTGGGAACTCTGGAGCTAACCTGCAAAGTTTGATTCCTTGCTCAACTAGTTGCTGTAAGACTGAGAGCAAATTGCATAGCTTTTCTGTGACTGGGTTTTCACATGTGCAAAATGATTATATCCATTGTACGTATGTTATAGAGTTTATGTAAAATACAAATAAAATATAAAAGAAAGAATTGAGGACAGAAAACAAGTTTAGCTAATGATGATGTTATAACCTAGAAAAAAACCGCGTAATTAGGAAAATTGTTGTTATAGACACCCCAAAGCCATACAAGACTGCTATGTTTGAATAAAGAAAATGCTGATTCTCATTACTTATTTTTACTCTTTTGCATTCTTCTGGTCTTTGTTTAACCTCTGGTAGTAGAACTGTGTTAATACAAAATTGAAAATCAAGGTCAAATGTAACAGAGGTGAATGAGTGCTTTTTAATATATGAAATGAAGGTCAAAGCAAAACATTGGCTTGAGTTAGTCATGTTCTTCTCTCTCTCTCTTTTTTTAAAGTATCTTTTTTATTTTGGAAACTTTTCAACATAAACAAAAGCAGAGAAAATTGTACACTAAAACCTCAAGTACTTATCAACAAGGTGAAATTTTGATTAATTTGTCTGTAAGAATTTGCTAATAATCAAATATACTTCAAGATATTTCGTGGGGAGAACAGTGCCTCTGTAGGATAAACCACAAGGTTGCAGTTTGAGGCCACCAGCCTCTCCATGGGAGAAAGATGAGGCTTCCTGCTCCCAAAAAGATTTTCAGCCTGGAAACTCTGTACAGGGTCACTATGAGTCTGAATTGACTCGATAGCACCTAATAACAACAACAAAATATTTCTAAACTTCTTATTGAAAGACTGAAAGAGAAATTAGCATTATTATATAAATCTGAAATTAGAACATAATCTTCTTCCACAATTAAAAACTGAAAAGTAAAAAATAGTAAGTAAGTATCCTTAAGAAATCTACTATTGGGCAGGATAGGCAGTCTACATGGTTTGTCAATGCACACAAAACAATTTGTTAACAGTGGTTACTCCTGGGAGGTAGGATTCTAGTGGGAACAGGGAAAGTGCTTAGAGGAACTATTCCACAGTTCTTCTAAAACCCCACAATCCCTCTTGAACATTTTGGTCCTTCTTACTTAACCACTCATTAATTCCCTAAAATTACGTTCAATGCAATCACTTATTGAAGTGTTTAATTTTTTTCTGACTCTCTAAGGCAGTTAATCATCATCTTTACAGTGTCCAGAAAAAGATTTGAGCATTTTTTTAATGAAAGTGTTACATTGTCTTATAATTATTTGTTGACGTGTTTTGACATGTTTGTCTCTCTAAGCACATCAAGGTTGTGAAACACATATTACTCATCTGTATCATCTGTAATTCCATATTATCTGACACTTAGCAGGAACTTAATAAAAGTTGAGTGAGGGATCTTGAATAAACTCACATTGACACTGTCACACTTGAATTAACACACAAACACATTCATTCTTTCACATGAGAGATGTGAGTAACAAAAGGGAAAAGCACATTGGCTGTTTAAACTTAAATCATTCCCAGCATTGATCACCAAGTTAAAGAGCCAAACAGTCACATCTCAGTGGAGAAGGATGGTGTTGTTGTTGTTAGGTGCCATCGAGTCGGTTCGGACC